ATTAAAAAAAGATTGATAGACTACAGAAAAGAATCCCATCAGAAAGAAGGGATAGGTGGACAGCAATTTGCACTATGTGAAAATGGCTACATCCATGAGATTTCAGCATGAATTATGAATTTAAAAATTCTTATTAAGTTCTAATTATGTACAAAGCTCTAGGAACACAAATATAAAGGTGAGACAGTCCTGGCCCTAAAGAAGTTTACTTTCTAAATAGGTGCAAATCAGCCTGGGATATTCAACACCTTCCCACTTCCCTCAGCCTCCTCTGATTCAAGGGTTGGAAGATGAAGCACTGAACTTTTCCCTAAGCCTAATAAACGGCAGGATTTTGGACTTTCAGCTAACTTTACTTCCCATCTCCAATTCTGCTCAGTTTCAACTCCATAGTTACCCAGACACTCCCTTATGCACCACCCTTCCCTTCCCTTTTGTGTATTTTCTTTCCCAATTAGATAGTAAACTCCTTGAGGGAAGAGGCTGTCTTTCTTTCTTATTTGTATCTGCAGCACTTAGCACAAGCTTTTAATAAATGTTTATTGAATTGAACTCAAGATAAACATATATAGGAATGATGGGCAGGAAGGAGCATTTTGGAGCCATGGGGAAATAGATTTATACAACCTTTAGAGCAGCAATAACATAACTGATTTGATTATGGTTCCATATCTGGAAAGCAGAAATGGAGGTTAGAAATTACACACACACCTCAGTTAGTCACTCAGTCCAAAAGGATTTATTAAACACCTAAGAGTTTTGGAAACGCCAGGCACCATGATAAATACTGGGGATACAAAGAAAGGCAGAAGACAGAACTTTCCCTGAAGAAGCTGACAATCTAATCATGCATCAGGCAATCAACTGTCTGGGTTGTAAAATAAAATATGACTGGGGCCAGCTAGATATAGTCCCACATGAGGAACTAATCATTCAGGACAGTGTAGACTCCAGGGCAAAAAAGATTTTGTTTCAAAAGGCATAATCTCTGATTGAAAGAGTACAGTAACAAGGTAGCAGACGAGAAGATAAAGACAGTATGAAGTAAAGCATGGCTGGGACTGGCTAGATATTAGTGGGTCATAGGAAGCACTCATCAGTAAAGACAATGCAAACCCCAGGGCTGACGTTTCAGACAGGAATGGTTTAATTCTCTCAGGGCATGAGCTCTAATTCAGTGGATGAAGTAGGATGTGCAGGTATAAAGAAACTATCTCCTCTAATCTCTAGCACCTTACTTTGTACATAGTACAGATTATTAAACAAAGATTGATAGACTATAGAAAAGCATCCCATCAGAAAGAAGGCACAGGTAGACAGCAAATTAATAGAGCCCTGCTTAAAGGAACACCTTCTAGAAATAATTCGATGGCCCAAAGCTTCTTCTCCAGATTCACACATGAGAAAGCTTTTACCTGAAACAGCCTTGGATTTGCCAGAAGGAAATTACATATCACCTGCGGTAGCAGATGATACCATCTCCATTCACCCAGAAAACCTTATCTTTTCTTAGCCTCAATATCTCAATCAGAGAAGGTAACTGAAAGTAGATTTTTTTTTAAACAGGTTTTCTGAAATTTGTTTCTAGAACTGCATTAGAGTATCTTTTGACACGTACGGAAGTATCTACACAGACTAACCTGCCTTTCCACACTGACTACATGTCAGACAAGGTGACCTGATAACAAAGAGACCAAACACAATTCCTTGTCTAACTGGTCAGACACTTTAATTTTTATGGGTGAAGGCCCTTTGAACATCACTTGATCTGTCAGGTTCCTCGTTTCAGTAACTTTCTTTTTCTTACCTCCAAAGTTATTTCAATTATATACTTTTGGATGCTTGATGCCTTTCAAAATGTGCTTTTTAACTCTTAAAAATCTGATATCTGTAATTTTCTACCACAAATCAGCAGGGATGACATGTTCTTCATAAACATTTTATTTCATGCTCTTAAAAATGTTGTCGTTTAAACAAAAAAACCAGTAAGAACTAGCTTATAATGAGCAATTTTATTCCAAGTAATTTTTATTTCATAAAAATCAATTAACATTCACTCAAGTCAGTACTTAGTGGGGTTTTTTGGTTCCAATATTTTAAATTGACAATTATCTAATCCAATAACTACAGAGGAAGCATTTTTAGTTAACTTAATTGCAATCATAAATACAAATACCTTTCCTCCTCTGACCTCATTTTACTCATATTTAAACTTCAATTTTAAAAAGTATATTTTCTTTTCATTAGAGTCATATTTTTTTCTTTGTGTAAGTTACACCCTAAAAACAAATTAGACTCTTTTGAAAAAGGGGTTATGTCTTAGGAAATGACTGTTTCAGTACAAGAAATGATGGCCTGAAAAAGTCAATTTAGCTCCAGAAGAGTCATTCTTTTCATTCAGACTATAGTTTATTTCTTTTCTAATAAGGCAAAAATAATAACTATTTCAGGCCAGGCTTATCCAATAATTTCTCCAAACAGCAATCAATTTCCAGGAGAACTATCTGCTATTACTACACACTCCATAAGTGAATATAAGAATGATATTTTTATCAATATTTCTTTTGTCACTCATTTCAAGAAGTTTGGGATCATTAAAAACTCTGAAAATTTTTTGAAAGGTAATTCTGCCTCCTCTTCTATTCATTTCTGGGTCCAATTTATTATCCATCCAGATCATCTGTCCAAGATATTTAAACTGATAAGCCAGATATTTAGACTGAATATCTAATTCATAAATATACTGGCAATGATGCTGTATGTCTGAAATATTATAACCTCTGAAGAATTAATGTTGCAGTTTGCCCAAAAGGCAAGACAAAGGTGTGTGGAAGGAACGAGCAGATTGCAATATATTACCAATTATGTACTGTGAATAAGGATATCATCAAAAGGTGGTATGACCCAAAAAAGATGGGGTTTGGGAAAGGTATAATCATATGTTCCAGTGGTTTCCACCCAATATTTAAACATGGAAAAAAGCCCCAGATACTTTGGAAGGAGTCTTTTTGGAGAATTCAGTGAAGATATGGACAGAAGACACACAGATTAAGAAGGCTGTGATCTGAACTGATGGAAAGAGCACCATCATTAATAAGATCAAAAATCTACTGAGTTAGAACAAGGTTATTTTATCAAGAGAAATCTCAGTTTGAACACCCTTTAATTAAAGTGGTAGTTTGAATTATAAATATGAATGTTTTAAATAGGTAATTTTTTCTCCCTCTCCTCTCTAACAACTTCATTGCCATTTGCTAGAATAATCCTTCTCATGTATAGAAGTAGCAATGTTGCTGTTGCATTAAAAAACCTTCAAAGGCTTAGTACTGTCCACTAAGCAAATTCAAATTCCTTTGCCTTGCACTCATTGTAATACCATCCTACCTTTAAAGTCTTAGGTAGGCAAAACTGATTATGAGAATCTTTGGTCAATTTGATGAATTTCCCAAATCAAAGCCAGTAGATTATAGGGTGAGGATCATTGTCTGAACAGCTTTTCCCATGGAGGCAGTATGTACCCTGGAAATTTTCCAAGATAACAAGGAACTTCATTAATTTGTTTCCTAAAGATGATTAGAAACTAAAAATATATACCTCTTCTCTTTTCAAAATAATCACCCTATCCCTGTGGCCTGTAAAATGCTGGTGTAAAATGAGCTCAACCCTCCCCTTCCTTTTCTCCCCTCCTCAAGAGAAAATGGTGACTTGAAGGAGAAACACAAAGCCAGCTAGCCTGTGGTTCATAGGCTTCAAATACCGGTACACCTCTTACTTTCCTTCTTCCCAGTTTCTGAGAATAGTTCACAGACCAGAATTCTCAAGAATGCTCCAAATACAGTGGTAGCTCTGAAATGACAGTCCTTGCAGAAGCATATGGCAGTGGTAGATCTGTACTTAGAAGGAGCCTGAGAGAAAAGCTCCTAAGAGTGGACTTTCTCAACTATGGGAGTTGACTCTTGAGAGTTAACCATAATAAACCTTTCACAGTATTAAATATTTTGTATTATAAGTATTATTTTGTATTGTAACTGTGTCATATTCCCCAACTAGACTCCAGGAGAGCAGATGCACCTTATCTACATAAGGAATCAACTTCAGCACCTACCATTGCAATCAGCAAACAACAGGTGTTTAATAAGGGCTGAATTCAGTTGTTGTGTTTTGTTTCCCCAGAAATACAAACAGAAGGACGAAGAAGCTATAGAAATAATCTTCAAAAATTTCCAACCACCCATGTTGTTGTTGTTCAGTCATTTCAGTCTTGCCCAACTCTTTGTGACTCCTTTTTTTTTTTAATTTTCTTGGCAAAGATACTAGAGTTGTTTTTTTCCTTCTCCAGCTTTCCTCTTTTTTATTCCCACTGCCCTCACAATACCACCCAATGTCAGAATGGTGTTTTTTGCTTGCACTAGCCTCCTCTAACCTTTCCTGCCCTCAGTCTTCAACTGTGCACACATCTATCATGTCACTTATATTCAGCTCATCCTTCTAGACTCAGTTCAAATGTAACCTTTTTCAATAAGCCTTCCCTGATCACTCCAGATGGAAGTTGCTTCTCCCTCTTATTTATGTTCATTCCTTATGTTACCTACTATGAGGTACAGGGAAAGATCCTTTCTCACCTCTATATTCACAACATCACTCAGCACCATCAATAAATGTTAGTTAAATGAATGTGCTTTTAATAAACATTCAAGAATCTTCTAAATTCAGTGTCCATTCATCTCATTGTAACTGACTGAATTACTTCCAAAGATAATGCACATATACAAGATTAGAATAACTGAAATTTATGTGTAGAATCTGAAGTATGATTTTAATTATAACTTTAATCCAAAAATATTATCTGTGGAAACATATGTCTGAATGGGAAAATATTATTCAATACATGCATCTTTAATTTACTAGAATTCCTCTCATGTAAAGCGAGTTCCAGAGGTAATGGCTTCTCATAATTAAGCAGCTGTAAAACAAAAATAGAAAAAAATTATAATTCTTACCTGAGTATGCTCAATTCAACTGGCTATGAGATACTAGATGTTACATAGATTATATCACATTTGATAGCAGCATTTTCCCAGTGTGGTTCTCTCTTGTATTTTTCATATAATATCACATGTGACTAGAAAATAAAAATGAAACATTTATATAATAGTTTTTGTTCAGTAGCTATCAGAATAAAAATTCTATTTGGATAAAATTTTAGTTAAAAAAATACAATACACATAACAAAGTTACAAATGTCTCTGTGAAATGTCATGAATAAGCCAATATTTAATGAGAAAACATACTAATAAATGAATTTTATAGTCATAAGCTTTACAAATTATTTTTGTCAGAACAACCTTTCTGTGAAGCTATAAGGTTACCTGGTTAATAATTATGTTAAGTAACAACTCTGTTATTGCAGATATTTTACCATTAAAACAAATGTTTTTATTATGTGGTAATAAGTAATAACTCATTTTTGTTGTTTATAAAGATCTTTCAAATAAGATAACATACATAAATATCTTGGCAAACCTTAAAGTACTATGTAAATGCTGGTTATAGTTATTGTTAACCAACATATCAACAGTGTCTAACACTGTAAACACTGTGGATGAATGCTTTACTCCCTACAACCATCTGAAGTAGGTGGTGTAATCATGATTATACCCAATTAATAGATGAAGAAACCAAAACTAAGAGGGGTTTCGTGACTAGTGTCCATGCCTGCCAGGCTGGTAAACATCAGAGCTGAGATTCCAACCAAATGCAGTGCTTTTTCCACAAAGTTTTCCTTGCTTTTCCAGTGATAATTCAATCTCACTGCACTCTCGCAGACAGACAGCTATCATCAGTACCAGTAGTACCCTTCATGATATAGCTGACTTTAGGTGGTTTATCTACCAGCTAAGTACTGAAAGTGTCCCTGATGATTGGCAGGGATAATCAGAAATTCAAAAGCACTGATAATACATAAATGTAATAGGATTATAGTTTCCATTCCTCTTAAACTGCTATGTGAGGTGTTTGGGATGTTTAATCCCCCGGTAACTAGGCCAGACCCATATCAGAGACAGCTAGGATTTTGAGGTTTTATTTTCATTCCTAAAGAAAAGGGGAAAACACAAGTCATTCCAGGAAGTAACACAAAGGAAGAAATCACCTTATTCCATGAAGTAATTCAAATGAATCTCTGCCATAAAGTCAAATTCTTATCAGAACCAGTGGCAGAACATTTTGTCTCTATGCCAATGGGGGGGGGGAGATGTACCACCGTTTAATCAATCAACAAACATTAAGCACCTACTGTACAAAGACACTGTGCTAGGTGCTGAGAAAACAAAGGAAAAAAGATAGTCCCTTCCCTTAAGAAGTTTACTAGTATCATTTACCAAAGTTCTCTTAAGATTTAATTTCTTTTTACCCTCCAAAAAGTTTATGTCATACATAAACCAAGCTAAATTTCAAATAAAACAAAGCAATAAACATTTCCCAAGATTGGTTATATACAATGCTAAAAATGCCTATCTAGGGGCAGCTTCGTGACTCAGTGGATAGAGCACCAGCCTTGGAGTCAGGAGGACCTGAGTTCAAATCTGGCCTTAGCCACTTGACACTTACTAGCTGTGTGACCCTGGGAAAGTCACTTAACTCCATTGTCTAGCCAAAAAGGAAGGAAGGAAAGAGAAAGAAAGAAAGAAAGAAAGAAAGAAAGAAAGAAAGAAAGAAAGAAAGAAAGAAAGAAAGAAAGAAAGAAAGAAAGAAGGAAGGAAGAAGAGAAGGAGAAGAAGAAGGAGGAAGAAGAAGGAGAAGGAAAGAAGAAGAAGAAAGAAAGAAAAAGAAAGAAAGAAAGAAAGAAAGAAAGAAAGAAAGAAAGAAAGAAAGAAAGAAAGAAAGAAAGAAAGAAAGAAAGAAAGACCTATCTAAAATCTTAGCAAGTTCTTTCTGGGATGCCCATAGTAGGAATGTAGGATAGGAGGTTTAAGAGGAGGGGGAAAAACTGAGTTTTCTCTTCTTAAGGCAGTAAAGAGAAAGTTAAATATCAAAACAAATATTCAAGACATGGTACTGGGTTGCTGGGACCTAGGATCACACACATTTTGGAGGTTCTTCCTGAAATGATAGAGAATCCTTGGATTTGACCTTGAGTTCGAGAGAACTCAACTTCTTTGGGACCTCCTGTGGCCTCCCAAAGGAAAAAAACTATTGCCCAAGTTTAATGGCACCTGACAGGGGAGTTAGAGACTGGTGCTGGTGGATTACTGGGCAGACTAGAGGGAGTAAGAGGAAAGTAGGGGCAGGAGAGATCTCAGCTACAGCTAAGGACAGGCCAAAGCAGCAGCTGTGAAAAGCAAGAACAGTGCTAGGAGCCAGAGGAGTTGGAAAAGCCCCATCTTCACACATACGCACTTCCGGCAAAGGAGAGGGGCAGGAGAATGAGGTGACTTTACCTGCAAGTCCTACTTTGTCTGAAGGTTCATCTACAGTCCTATATACTCTACTGTTCCTAAATTGCATGGCCTTTAACAATGATTTTTTATAAGCCAATTAATATGTGTTTTGGCATTGACTGAGGAAGATAGCTCATGAGGGAAGCACATTTTGTAGTTTTACAGGGATGGAAGTAGGTAGGGGAAGTAGGCATTCTATCAATCAAAGTTTCTTAAATTTTGGTCATTTACTGAGAATATTCCCAAACATAACCACTAATACTCCTGTTGAATCCAAAGAAAAGGAGAATTAGTAAGGAGAAGACTCAGTAGAAGAGGTTAGGCGATTAATGTGGTTGTATTTGAGGATACCCTGTATCATATGCCCATACTCTACACTGCTAAAGACAAAGTGTGTGATCTGTTAGCCTTGGATGATATTTTTTTTCCCTGTAACTTAGAGATACTGAGAAAAATATTAGAATTTTTATCATATATATAAACTGAACAATATTTTATTTTAAATTATAAAATTATTTTTTCATTTTTTTCTTCACTGGTGATTTTATTAGTGTAGACGGCTCCAGGTGATAAAACTCCCTCTACCAATGTAAAAGTTAAGTGACTTGCCCAAATATAATACAAGTTAGACCTGAACCCAGGTAGTCCTAACTCTATCACTGCTAATATTCCTTTCATCTTTTCTTTTCTAACAATATTTATATCAACTTAAATATCAATCTATAACTATAGATGTGTATCTCTCTACATAGATACATATATACATACATATGTATGTATATATAAACATATATGTGTGGGTACATAAATATAAACTTATTTATTAAATTCTTACCATGCTTAAAATACTGTTTATTTCTATAACGTACTAGAAATTAGCCATATTCAATCACGTACTCTAAGGAAAGCTGAGCACCACAGAAACAACCCCTTCAGGTCACGGTGCTGGAGAAAATTTTGGGGAGTCCCTTGGACCGTGAGGAGGTTCAGGCTATTCACTGGAAGGTCAAATAACTGAAGCTGATGCTTAAATACTTTGGCCACATAATGAGAAGAAAGGACTGATAAAAAACAAAAAACAAAAATACTGATGTTGAGAAAGATTGAAGGCAAAAGAAAAGGGGACAGTAGAGGATGAGATGGATAGACAGAGTCGTACAAACAACGAACATGAATCTGGACAAACGTTAAGAGAAAATGGAAGATAGAAGGGCCTGGCATGGTATGATACATGTGGTATGAAGAGTCAGACATGACTAAATAACTGAACAACGATAACAATTATGCTAAGTCCTGAATAAATCCTTTGTGACTGTTTTTAAAATTGGGGAGTACATTTTTCTTGCCCCTTTGGAATTTATCAACCAATAATCAATTTACTAAACATTTAAGAACCATCTACTACACACAAGGCACCATGCTTGAAACTGAGAAAGTCAAATTCAAAACCAACAGCCTGCAACCTTAATTGAGGGAATGTCACATACACAAGTGAGCAGCTGGATGACAAGGTGGATGGAGCACTGGGCCTGGGAGTCAGGAAGACTCATCTTCCTGAGTTTGGATCTGGCCTCAGACACGTGCTAGCTGTGTGACTCCTTGGCAAGTCACTTAACCCAGTTTGCCTTAGTTTCCTCATTTGTAAAGGGAGCCGGAGAAGGAAATGGCAAACCACTCCTGCATCCTTGTCAACAATACACGAAATAGGGCCACAGAGTGTTGGATACAACTGAAATGTATGACAACAAGGCATAGACAAGTAATCTGTGTCTCAGTGTCCTCATCTATAAATTGCAGAGACTGAACTAAGACTCCCTTCCAACTCTAAAGCCAGTGATCCTAGGAGCTAAGTGGAACACAACATGCTAACTAAGTGCTACGCAAAAGTATTCTGAGAAAGTTGAAGAGACAAAAATGACTTTGGGGAGAGATCACTGAGCTGAATGAGGGAGGCTCAGGAAAAGCCTTCTAGAAGGACTGCCACCTGCATTAGGCCTCAGAGGAAAGTAAGAATTTCAACAAAACATCACAGGGCTTTACAGTTGATACTATAACAAATAATCCCACAGCCAGCCTGGCAGAAGTGAGAAAGACAGCAGACTTACTGAGTTTTACTTTTTGCTGTTATTAAACTGAATCCCTTCCCTTTGAAGTGGTCTCAGTCTTCTCCCTTAGTTAACTATAAAACAGCCTCCTCTGAACCTTAGCTAATTTATCTCTTACACATTCCCCTGTCATCTCCTTATAATTGAAAACCATAGTAATCTAATTCCCTTCACTTCTGGTTTTTAAAATAAAACTTTGACATTAAATATAATCTCACCTCTTATTATTCCATTGCTGTCCCCTGTTATTCCTTACATAAAAAAAAGTCACCCAGTGAATTAATGTAAATTCTCTATACACACTAGTATTCATAGACATCAACATGATAAATATAAATGTTTAGTTATTCCAAGCATTTTGGGCTATAATTAACAAGCCAGTAAAAAATTTAAATGGTTCCTAACCATTAACCTAAAATTCTCTAGAGATTCTTTAAAGCAAGCAGACTTATTTAAAAACTAAATAAATCAGTCAATTGAGAATCCTCCTCATGATTTATCAGAATCTTGATTTAACCTTTCTTTTATTTTATATTAATGAATACGCTTCTCAATCTTTAAAGAAAAGTCAATCTTTG